AGTTGTCACAAGCCCTAACTGTGGCTAAGGAATGTGTAAGGTGCGTTTCAATTAAACTTTAAGATGAAAAGTAACATGCCTCGGAGTGTGGAGGAATTAATTCAAGCGTCGAGGAATGGTCGTTTCGTCCTCCGAATTAGGAGCGGAGTAATTTCCGAGACGTAAATAAGATGTAGAGGACGTCAAGCACACCTAACGAAGTAAGGAAACTTTGTAGCCAGTTGACATTTACAAGAATTACAAGAAGGTATCAAAGATTTCTTTCCTTCTTTTTTGTGTAATTTGCTGTGAGACGTATCGGCGATTAAAGAGAAATCTTGAACTGATCAAATATCTCTCAATCAGTATTGATTATTGGGGCTTATTTTAGAGTGTTTAAAAGTATGAAATTGTATGTGTGTCGATGTAATATTTATAATTCTACTCTACCTATACATATGAATCAAATTCGGAAGAAGCATGTTTTTATACAAAAGTGATGTCAGAACTTGCGTAGAACAACGTTTGCGTTGTATTTCGCCTCGTAAGTAAGCTATCCTCTGTTCATCCCCAATCCTAAATCCCCTTTCCTCAAGCTATTTGTGGATACAAATAGCTGGCAACTGGCAACACACTTGTAACTCTGGTTTTGCCTTAGGTGCATCTTCCTTAGGGCAATCTGTGTCACATATGGACGTATGTGTCAGACACTGATTGTATATCTTGGTCTTCAGCTACTGACCATGGAGTAAGAATTTGAATTTTTTGTCAAACTATGTATACTACATACCTATAGGTAATATCTTTACACTGTTATTGTTCTACTTGGCACCGAATTCAAGATTAGGTATATAAATAGTTATAACTATTACTTTCTATTTAACTAAATGAAAATACGTATTTCTTTGTACAATGAAGTTTAATTTTTATTTCTATTTTAATTTTTGAAGTCGCTTTATTTTTTGTTATTTTATAAATCATACTCACATTGTGCCTCATTGCTGAACAGCTAGTTAAAGAATTATGAGTCACTAACGACTCGCCCCGACTTTGCACGGGTGCCTTGCTGATGCCTCCTCATTTTTCCACCATTTAATGGATATTATTAGGCATATAAATCTCCCTCTGTAAATTTTAATATTCTGCCTATTAAAAATCCGCATCAAAATCGGTTGCGGAGTTTTTAAGAGACGCATACGTTAGGATATATCGACAGAGATAGCGACTTGGTTTTATGTTGTGGTTGAGTTGGCATAGTTACCATAATTTGTTATCAAGCACATTCATTCAATTATTTTTGCTTATTTTAGTACACGTAGTAAGTTTATGTCTATACACAACCTTTAAGTAAGAGTAACGATCGATAAAAAAGAAACTACTATAATAACATAAACGTACCATTTTAATCTTAACACAAACAAGTCTTTGTAAGAAATTAATTACTTACTCAAAAACTTGTTACAAAACAAAAATAAAAACAATTAATATAAATAAAAGAAAGTTTGGAATACTTGAAGAGTTGAAAATATTAAAAAAATATGCTAAATATATCGTAAACAAACAAAACTTTAAGATTTAAAATTGGATTTGTTTTTGGGTACACAGGCTTTGTTCTCTATGAACCAGCTTTTTTTTTGTCATCAAATGACTTTTCCCGGCCAGGGTAAGGTGAGAAGGAGTGTCAGACTCTAAGACAAGGCTCTATAGGGTTGATGTTTAGCCGGGGTTGCGGGGTAAGCGCAATGAGGCCGCAGCCTCGGCCTAGAGCAGGAGAAGGAACTGATACTAGTATAGTCTGATACTTACTCCCGCCCCACCCTGGGCGGTAGAAGTCATTGAAATTGTACCTCACAAAAAATCTTACCAATTAAAAAAAACCTTTTAACAAGCCTTGATTTTGACTCACTGAAATATTTTTCTGTTGTCTTGTGAGGCCTAATTAGCCGGGTAATAAGCTTTAATTTGATAACAACTGTGCCGTTTCTTTATCTACTCCGAGTCGAGGCTGTGATAGGTACTTTATTCTATTTGTATCCGCAGCTGAGAATTATAGATATTAATTTGTGCTGTTACATTGGTTCACAGTATCGGTTTTACCTAGACTTAGTTTTGATGGTATCTAACAGAAATTTCGAATATCGACTTGGCCCGGAATGTTCAAAGTGAAGCGTTCAAACTATGCTTAGGCGACGAATCGGCTACTACCTACTCAATTGCAACGTAGTATTTTGATTTCTCTACAAATAATATTACACCATCAGCCTATAAGTGCCCAATGCTGAGCAAAAGCTTCTTCTTAAACGGAGAAGATTTGAGCAGTAATCACCACGCTTACTAGTCCAGAATTCCTCATGATATTTTCTTTCACCGCATGTCAGTGCTGTCTAAATAATTATAATAACTACATGTAAATCATAGTAACTGCAGCAACTAGATGTTTTTTTTGGGAAGGTAAAATCATCAAATGACTTCTCCCGCCCAGGGCCGGGCGGGAGGGAGTGTCAGGCTCTTACTGACTAACCCCCCCCCCCCCTGTTCCTTCTCCTGCTCTGGGCCGAGGTCGCGGTGCCTCATTTCGCTTACCCCGCAACCCCGGCTAGCAACTAGATGTAATAATTAAATATGAAATAAAAAGTCCACGATGTAAACTTGATTCCATTTATTTCAATATGTAGGTATAGTTAATATGAACATAATAAATGTTACTCTAAATTCCAGTTTCAAGAGGGCCATACTAATTACAATGGCAACATCATACGATAAGTAGACAAAAATGCATCTTACGGTACATAAAAATTAGAAATACATTCGCATAAAAACCTTTTATGGACTTAAGGGCTAGTTAAAAAGGCTCAAACTACTTAATATTTGATTAATATAATCATTTTTATTGTAAAATATTTAAAAATCTTGTTCGTATTTATGTTATTACAAACATACAAACTTAATAATATTTTAACGACTAGCTTATACAAAGTAAGGTACACTAACTACTTAATAAAGTAATAAACTCACAGCCGTACTCAGAGTCGTTAAATTATTCCTTAGCAGCGAAGTTCCATACTCCGAAATTCCAAAAAACAATATGGTTCAAACATTCGAATTTTGAATGCTATTTATAAAATAATGCAGGCTTCATTCGTTGATTTAACGATACTTACGCCCGGTTTCCGAAAGGCCAATCAATGTTAAAATTAATTTAAAATATCTTGTCAAGTCATCTGATTGGTTGACTGAATTATCAACAACTAATCAGATGACTTGACAGCTAGTTAGGTGATTTTAACATTGATCGGGCTTTCGGAAACCGGCCATTAATATTGTATTTGGCTACCTCATTTTCAAAAATATACATATAGGAATGTCCTTTGGAAAACAACAGGACGTCAACGTAGAAAACTGTAGATTTCGACATTACAAAAAGCAGACTTGTCTAATATCCAGTTGGTAAGAACTGAGTCAAGTAATCATTAAGAGACTCTGAGTACGGCGATGAAAGTACAGTCAGCCACAGCAACTTATGCAGAACACACACAAAAGGAACAGCCAAACACTTGAAGGAATTGAATTCATTAATTTTCCAGTTAGTTTATGATTGACATGTTACAGATATCCACTTATTATCAAACTGCGGGCGGGGAAAATTTAAACCCTGTTTGCCCGAAAAACGAAATTCGAAGTTAGTCATTAAAATCTTAGACACAATCAAAACACGCATTTGGTTGTCTAACAAACTCACCAACAGATGTCGCTGTTAATAAAATGCGTATTTGTGTCAAATGAAATGCTGTGAGCAATGTTACCTAATTTAGCTAGTTACAGTGTGCATATTATACGAAAAGCATTATCAATTTAAAAACAATAAAGGTCAATTCTTACAGTTGATAGTACCCACTACGTCTAGTAGCCGATACATTAAGATAAAATATGTCAACATGTAGAATATAGATATCTTAATGGACTCTTTAAAAAAACTTACACATTTTGTCTAATATTGTCAGAATTAAGAAAAAAATTTTGGAAAGTTCGTCAGGAAAATTCGGAATTAAAAAAACTTAACAGTACTTTCTTTAATCTTATAATTATGTACTTAACCTATAATGTACAACACGTTTCAAATTAATTAATTTTAGTAAATATTAATTATTGAATCAAATCTTAATATAAAAGTTATCTTTATTTCATATATTTTTTACAAAAAACCCAGTCTGTTGACAGTCTCGATACAAAATCTCATAATTAGTATGGTAATTAATTTAAATACCTAGTCACAACTTTTATAAAACATTTCCAAAATAGAACACATTCGTAAAACATTGATTAACGGTTTTTCGTCAGAAGAAATTTCATTTTATACGTATATCATTAATATTAATTTTTAAGACATTATTCATTGTAGGAGTTTTAATTAAAATTTATAATATTAAACATCATTAATATTTAGGCTTAACCTTAGAATTATAACAATTTTAATATGTTTATAATCGTTTGATCTCTGTCACTCTTTGACATGTAAAAGAGATAGCAATATAATATTTGTGCAATACGTAACTTCGACAATTTATTTAGTATGCAGATAAAAAAACAAAGATCGATTTAGTACTGAGACTATTGGTTAGCTATTAAGCTGATTGATAGTTTAGTTAAAAAGCTACAATTAAACATAATATTATTCGTTCCCTATGTAGGTACTGATTGGAATAATATCCTACTAAGCGAGGGCGGGCAACACTAGCCCTACGCCATTTTAACGCGCGCACTCTAGGTCGGAGCTGTCAGAAAGAAAAAAAACTGTTTCGCGCGCTTTTGTACTGTAAATCCGATTTCTTGATATGTCTATTCATTAATACCATTGTGTTTTCATGTTAAAAGTACCTACTGAATCATTATATTTTCTTATTCGCACACAAAATAAATCGACTGACTGTACTTAAGTTGACAATAATTCACTGACTTCAGTGATTCTACAGAATGTGATACATGATACCTGCTAAAATTACCTGCATTAATAAAATGCTTAGATAGAACTTGAATTCGATGCATGCCCTTATTTTCAAAGTAGGTAGATAACCAGGCAACAATTGATCAAAACTACACCTTCAGACTATAACAACAAGAAAACTTTTTCATTGTTTTCTTTGTTAAAAACTAATTCAAATGCTTACGAATATCATGTACCAACAAATTCTTTAAATAATTGTCGTTATTTGAGAAACATTCGACGATATCGAAGTGGTCCATGCCATCTTTGATTTCAAGGTACATATTTTGCATTAGACACGTGTTGTGTAGGATCTCGTAGAACTCTCTAGATTGTTTCTTGAAGGTAGGGCTGTCATGCTGACCCGCCAGGATGTACAAGCGTATCCTCCTCCCTTGCAGGTGTGTATAGTCATCGAATTGTGGTGACAAGGGAATGGCCCACTCGTTTGGTAGTTGGACAGCGTCGTTCACTGATGTATGGACGAGCTCTCTAAGGTCGTAAATCCCTGAGACGAGGAACGCTCCCTGGAGACGAGTGGCGCCTGGAGTGTTTTCAAAGAAGTCTGCGTTGGAAAGTAATTTTGCTACCAGATGAGCACCGGCTGAATGCCCCGCGAAGTATACTCCCCTGAAAATTAGACAGTTTTTATAAATAAATAAGTAGTTTTTATTAATAGATTTGAAATTAGAACGCTTTTATCAATTTTCATTAAACACTTTTAGCATAAAAGTTGCTTTATATTAATAAGAATATTATTCTAGATGCTTATTACACTATCTAATTATGGTAGAACCAAGCTTCTTCGTGAATGGGTCGGCTCGACTGGAGTGATACCACGGCCTTACAGAAAACCGGCGTGAAACAACCGCAACGTTGTGTTTCACCATGTGAGTGATGTTACCGGAGGCCCCATCCCTCCCCGTACCCACATTCTTCTCAATCCTTAAATATCCGAAACCCTTATCCCTAAAAAGCCAACAACGCACTCGTAACTCCTTTGGTGTTGCGGTTGTCTATGGGCGGTGCCGACTGCTTACCATCAGGTATCCGTCTGCTCATTTGCAGTCCTATCACATAAAAATACTTTACAAAGAGTCGTCGTCCAGAAGAAATAAATATACTTATTTAAAATGCTCTCAAACAAAAACAATTCAATAAATCATTAGTTTCAGATAAATGGAACATTCATTCGACTTGTCAAAGCTTATCACTGTTCAGCTTCATTATGTAACAATTTATTTATCAAGGTGCTAGGTTATCTTACTTTGACCCCATTTTTTCGGCGTACTCGAAGACGAATTTGGCAGCCTTAGCCGTTTGGCTGACGATTTCTGCGAGGGTTGCTGTGGGGCATAGATCGTAGCCAATGACGATGGTCTTCACTCTGCACTTGTGGAGAGGACTAGCAGGGTAGCGGGATATCTCTCTTGATAACTCCTGCCAGTAGCCGCCGTGAATGTAGACGAGAATCGGTGCATCTGAAGAGGAACGGATGGTTTTATGAGATTCTCTATATAGACCTACATATTATGTCGAACTTTGATAACATTGCTAAGTGAAACTGTTGTACTATTGAAGAATGAAATGATTTTATCAGTTATAAAGCCTTAACCCGTGTAAACTAATTTAAAAAACCTCTACTAGTTTCTAACCACAATTGCAGATGATGAGAACTGACGTCACCGCGACGAGCTTATGTTTCTCAGTCAATTCACGTGGGTAAGTTTTCAATTATTTAAGTATGTTTCACGATATTTTTAAGCAAAAACCCAAACGCGGTTGATAAGATCCAGATCTAAATACAATTTTCCAGTTTTGGAGACCGTTTCTCAATTTCTGCGTTTTTTAAATACTCTTCAAGAGAATACCTATAATAAAAAGAAGTTAAACACAATTGCAAAATTATATCATAATAATTAAGTTATGTCAATCAGCGCAGTAACTATTTGAAACATTAATATCAGTAATCATATAATCGTAACAGAACTGTCAATGGTTCCCATCAAATTCTAATTGCATTCACTAGTTCCACGTCAAATTTTGACTAATTAAAATGATAATGTCAACTCGAGTGTCACTAAAAATTAATTATAATTAAACTTGTTCATTGCTCTGATGTCAAACTGATATTTTAATATTATTTGTCCAGTTTTGCGCAACCCAGTTTTAGTATGAGACATCGCTTAACTTTCTGCTCTTAGAATGAAAGGCGTGTCGCAACTTTTATCCATCGACAGCCACGACCACTCTGCTAAGCGTGTAACGACTAAAAAGAAGTTTTAGTTAAAGGTTTCAGTCTTAGATTAGATTTCTTAAGACCTGATGAACAAGAGTAGCTCTTCACCTGAGCAGAGCCAGACCCGAGCATACAGCACGTAGTATTCCACGTTCTCAAAAGCTAACAGACCACCACATATAGACCTTAACAGGGCTGATGTTCAGCAAGAGTTGCAGATCAAGCGCAATAAAATACCACGGCCCTAACCAGGAACAGAAGAAGAACCGGGGAGATTTTTTGTAAGAGTCTGACACTCTCTTTCGCCCCACCCAAGTCGGGAGAAGGCATTTCATGATTTTCCCCTTCACATCATGTACAGAGGGCCTTTTTAACGTAATGTTTGAGGTCTGTTAATAAACTAGAGCCTTCGATACGTTATCATCATCAAAGGCCACTTCTCACGTGGAGAAGGTTTGAGCTTTAATCACCACGCTTGCTCAATGCGGGTTGGTAATTTCAAACTTATAATTCGATACTTAATGATGTAATTTTATTCAGTACTAAGCTTTGCTCCAGAATCGGTTATGCCGTGGACCGACACGGTAAAGACAAGACAGCCAAATAAGTAAAGAAATTTCATATTGTTATTGTTTTCTTTTTTATGGTCCGGCTCGTAATGTGAGCTGTACAGCTGTAGCACATAGCTACGCGATTCATAACGTATCACAAATGCTTAGAGAGCCTTCACATCGGCCAGTTTTTTTTTATAAATCTTGTTGACGGGAGTCCGTTCAAAAAATTTTTTTTTCTTGATTGTCTAAAATCACCCAGCTTTCTCTAACGCTTTGAGTGGAGCGAGAGGGAATGTTTAACTTTTACTGACTAAAAAGCAGCCTGTTCCTTCTCCTGCTTCCTGTCCGGGGCCACGGTATACTATTGCCGTTGCACCCCCAACCCTATAATGGTCTTTATTTTCCATTTCTATTCACGATAAAAAAGATTTGCTATTGCCCTTGAAAAATAATTTCGAAATATAAATTACTATCTGCTAATATCTCAATTTGTTTGTATGTTTATTCTAATCATACTCCTGTTAGTCAAGCTGTGCAACAATCCAATATGAACTTAACAGTGACAAAATTTACTCGGGGTAGGACAACGAAATAGTTAAAAAGAAAGAAAGAAAGAAAGAAAAATCCATTTATTCGGCAGTTAGTCCTAAGTTCTCTAACTTCTATGTATGTCATTATTTTCTAGGCTAAAATCATGGCTCAATTCATTCTAATAGAACTTCTTACACACGAAACTAATAATGAGAAATCACCTTTAGTGTGGTTGGTAAAAAAATCACCTTGTAAAACTGAATTTTATGGTACGATTTTATATTTTTCTTCGTTACACTCAAGGGTTGATATTTTCGCATAAAAAACTGCCCCTCGTCAAGTAAACGAACGAACCTATAAAGACATCTTGTGTAGAACTGAACTTCTTATTATAGGTTTTCATCTTGAGTTTTTAATGTGACTACTAAGAATCAAGAAATTACATTACATTACATTATTTTTTATTTTTGTTGCGTTGCCCCTCACTATGATTTTCTCCTGTGTCGTGGTTGCGGTTACAAACATACAATTTGACATACACATGACACCCAGACCCGGAACATCAATTTGTGGATTACACAAAGAGTTGTTCCGTGCGGGAATCGAAACCGCGACACGTGGCACGGCAGCCAGTTGGCCAGCCACCGCACCAACCGTGCAGTCAAAAAAGTCAAATTCCATGAGAGTTGCATTAAGCAAATCCATTGGCGAAAACTAGTGACAAAATAAAGGCTATTTGGTAATCATTAAGGCTGCCTGAGTAGGTGGTTGGGTCTGTGGGTAACCAGACCTTTAGCTGACCTATACAAAAACAAATACGTAATACAAAAATATGTTTTATTTTCAATATGTAGGTACTCGTTAGGATCGAATTATGTTTACTTTAATATTTCATTGTAATAAAAAAACATCCTGTATTTATGCTTAATTTGTAAATGTTAATAATTACTCGTTTACAAAAATAGGAGGAAAGTATTGAATTTCGTTATTTTCATTACTTTTTTAATTGACCTTGATCGTGTGTCATCGTCGTCATCATACACATGTGCAATTATAAGGGCAGCTGCCACGTATTATACTTTGAGCATACAGGATATTACCTATACCGTCATTGAGTTTGAGTATGGTCCTTTTTTTTGTCAGGGGAAAATCATCCAATGACTTCTCCCGGCCAGGGTAAGGCGAGAGAGAGAGTGTCAGACTCTTACTGACTAAAAACCCCCCGTTCCTTCTCCTGCTCTAGGCCGAGGTCGCGGTGCCTAATTGCGCGAGGAGATAGTTCCTCCTTGAGCCTCCTCCTTTGCGAGCATAACTGCTTCGCAGGAGATAGCTTCCCAGTTCCTCTCGCTATGAACCATGGCCTCGATTAAAGCCGGGCGCGATAGGTTGCCGCCGCCGATCACTTCCCTGAGAACACGGCGGTGCTCAGCCCAAGCAGGGCACTCCGCCACCGTATGCTCCACCGTGTCCTCTTTGAGTAAGAGGGATTATAACTTTAAATTATTTTTAGTGTCTTTAGGTTTTTTGATCAATAAGGGCTAACCACTTATAGTTGGTTGTGGAGCTCTCGCCGTTTTGTAAAATAAAGAATCCTAGAACATTGTATGAATCATTACATGTTTTATTTTTATAGCTGCATTAATAAGTCAAACTGATCTCTTGTTAGATTAGCGACATGTGGCGAGGAAAAATACTGAAGCTGCATTCTCCAAGCCTTAACCAAGAAATTAAATATTGCATATCAAAAATTGAGTTTAAAGTGCATATTCATCTCCTAAGGATAACACACATAATAAAAAAATAAATAACTTTCTACTCTCACGCGGGTTCACCCGCTGCTCGGCTCCATTTGATCGTAGCGTGATGTTTCATAGCCTATAGCACCCAGGAACATTGTATCTATCTATCAGTGAAAGCATTTTCGCAATCAGACCAGCGAGCGGTTCCAAAGATTACCCCCTAGGACTATGCAATCAATCAATAAGATATTTTTTTTAGATCGCCGGTATGTTTTCGTTTCTCGTATATCTATAGGTACTAATATTATAAAGAGGTAAAATATGCCAGTTTTTTAGTTTATATGTAGGGGGTAATCTTTGGAACCGCTGCTGGTCGGATTGCCAAAATTCCTTCACTGATAGGCAGCTACAATGTTCTTGATTGCTAGAGGCTATAAAACGTCTCACTACTGTCAAAGGGAGCCGAGCAAACCGAGCTAGAGAGGCTAGTCTCAGATAAAGCTGGAACATACATGCGTTTGAGGTTCCACAAGTTTTAATCAATGTGTAGTCAGAACGACCTGTACATTATAGCTTATACACTGATATATATACAGTTGCAGAGTAGAAAATGATATCCACAGCATTTGTGACGGCTGCTGCACAACGTGTCATGGCATCGATTCCCGTATGAAACCGTATGAAATTAGAGCTGACACAAGGAAAAATTAATGTGAAGCCACGTTTTAAAGAAAAATACGAGGTATTCAGATACCTATAAGAACAAAGGGTTCAATAACCTTACATATCATTTGAGGTCTACTCAGTAATCAACTACCTTGAAGCGTCACTATTATCTGTTTCACATTTACTTTGTGCTCTCACTTATCTAAATTAAAGTTTACATTTGCATATAACATCATAAAACTAAGAGTTGAAAACAAAGGTTGTTAGTGAGATTGTAAATTATCTAGGCTGAGATAGGCACGTTGTATTCAATTTGAATGAAGGACACAATCTTAAGTACTCGTCGACAATCATTCAATTTGGCTTATTTAAGACAGGTAGACGTGATGTGTGAGGCTAGAAATACGTTGCGTAAATGCGTTGCGTGGCGTGATCTATCTATTGATTTCATATATGATTTTATGGTAAAAAGCTTCCCCTTTTTTTTGTAGGGGGAAAATCATCAAATGCCTTCTCCCGCCCAGGGTCAGGCGGGAAGGAGTGTAAGACTCTTACTGATTAAAAACCCCCTGTTCCTACTCCTGCTCTAGGCCGAGGTCGCGGTGCCTCATGGCGTGGCGTGACATATCTATTGATTTCATACATGATTTTATGGTAAAAAGCTTCCCCTGCAGTGTGATTCTGTAAGGCTTCATTTTCAACTTCGAATCAGAATCCGCTGTGAGTAGTACACTACACACAGTACAGTACACTAGCGCTACACTTGCGAGTTGAACTAAATTGACAGCAACATTTTGATAGATAAAGTATGAGATGGCGTTAAAAGTATCATTCTGTAATGCAATTTCCCTGTCACTTCGAAGCTCACGTCACACTCGAACAAAATTCAAAATCTTAAATTTTATAGAATCGACGTGCTGGCTTTTGCAATGGCAATGGTCATGTTGAGTCGCGTTCTGTCATATATATGAAATCGAGGCGCTCTCTTCCCATCCCTTCCCAATCCTTAAATATCCGAGATCCTTATCCCAAAAGCCCGGCAGCGCACTCGTGGCTCCTTCGATGTTCCGGGTGTACATGGGCGGCGATGATTGCTTTCCATCAGGTAATCCGCCAGAATGTTTTCCGTCCTATCACTTTAAAAATAAAATCGAAAACAGTCACCTTTATGACAAGCGAGCTTTCTAGACTACCGACGTTGTTTCTGTATAGGTATCTCAAGAAATTGTTGCCGTCAGAAAGTCGAGTACAACACCAGAATGAATATCTTACCGTTTGGTAAATCAGTTCCGAGTATGTCAAGTTTCTGTCCAGGCGTCGATCCATATTCAATCTCCAGTTTGTGTGGAATGTTATTTGTAGCTTCTTCGCTTGCTGTAAAGTAATTTAATTTTCGTTAGTTTTAGGACAAATCATTTTTTTTATATGTTTAGGGAAAACTGAGCTACCTATGTTCAGCTGTAGAAGCCAAAATATCGTGGTCTTAAATTTTTAAGGAACATCGTATGCTATAATTTACTCTTTTTCAATCCAAAACAAGAGTTCCCAAGAGTTCTACATCCATAGGATTTAAACAAAATATTTGGATGAAATTCAACACACGCTGTATGCAAGATTCCAAAGACACCAGTAATTTAAAAAAAATCAAATTTGCTCAGCATAATATGGCCTTCGCTTAAACACAGACATGGCATAAATTCTTAAAAGGTTAATACTGTTACATAAATACCTGTTGTGACATGTTTCACGTGGTTCTGAAGTACTTCCAAGGCCGTTGGAAATCTGGTCGACCACCGGCTGGGGGAGTATTCCCTTTCCAGGTCGATCGCGTCAAGAATCACCGACATTTTTGGCTTCTTTGCGCTCTGAAATCAAAAGATAATTTCATCAAGCATTATTTAAGTTTGGGAGAGCCAAGCTTCGGCAGATACCACGGCCTCACAGAAAACCGGCGTGAAACAACCCACAGCGTTGTGTTTCGCCGTGTGAGTGAGGTTACCGGAGGCCCATTCCCTCCCCTTCCCCTATTCCTTCACAATCTTTATATCCGCAACCCCTATCCCCAAGAGGCCGGCAACGCACTCGTAACTACTGTGGTGTTGGTGTGGGTGTCCATGGGCGGCGATTGCTTACCATCAGGTAATCCGTCCGCTCGTTTGCCGACTTATACGAAAAAAATAAATAAAAAAAAGCAACCTGTGTACCGTAAATTGATGACAGGCTAGGGTAACAGACACATATATAGGTAAATTATCATCCTCCCCCCTCCCGCTCTCTAACTCTTACTGCGGGTTTCCCAAGAGCCGACTAAGGGACTACATTTTACCGAGTCTGCGGACTCAGCAAGGGTAGCTTGCCGAACGGATCAGAACTAGACCTAAGTCCTATAGACCTAGTCCCTAGACCTATTATACCTAAGTCGTGTGGAGACTTAGTTATAATACAAATATTCCAATAATCTAGATTGGGCCTCCCCCAATTGTTGTCCAATGGTATTCTAATTAACTTTTTTGCTAAATGCTTTATGGAGTATGTTGCAATTTACCGATTTATCATTTATTCACCTCTTTCACCAATTCCTAAATCTCCGAAACCCTAATCCAAAAAAGGCCGGCAACGCACTCTTAACTTCTCCGTTATTGCAGGTGTCCATGGACGGCGATTGCCGACCATCAGTTAGTCCGTTTACTCGTTTATCGTCCAATCATATAAAAAAAAACATTTTGTCTCACATCGCACAGTGTGAGAATCGATCTAAAACAAGTCATGGTAGGTACAATCACTCTTGTTGGTAAAAGTAATTCGCTCTATATAAGATATAAATACTAATATCATTCAATATTACTTAATAGTTCCAAACAAAACACATTTAAAAAAAACATCTTCATCATTACCTGACTAACTTTCTCGACTTTAGTATTTCTTTTCCGACGAATCCTTTTCATTATAAATTTAAAAAACATTTTCACTTTAACAAAACACAAGTCCATGTTTACAACAAACTCCGCAATAATCGTTATCAGATCTATATAAAGTAAATAGAACGAGTTCGAATCCAAAACAGTGACAAAGTTCGCGATAACCGTTCATATGGACAGTTTATCAAATACATTGCATCACACCACAGATGTTTTAGAAAACTGATAAAGCAATAATGATGTCAATTATGTTTGAAAATAGTAGCCATAGTGAGACATATGTACTAAATGGATAGAAAATATTTATTTATTTTAACGTTGCCCCACTAAGATTTACTCCTGTGTCGTGGGTGCGTTTACAAACATACAATTTCACACACACATCACGCCCAGATCAGGAAAAACAATTTGTGGATCACAGAAAGATTTGTTCCGTGGTAAATTGTATTGCCATAATAGGTACTTTATGGCAATACAATTTAGTTTGCGTGATCAATAACAAGATAATTAGAGTGTAAGAAATTAATATTTCTAGAATTCCACATTTTCTGTGTAAATCGTTTTTTCCATAAAAATAATCGTAAGTCATTTAATTATAATTTAATCAGTTCTAAGAAAGGCTTTAGCATTTAATTCCCCGTGGTCGCCAAATTGTATGTTTGTAAACGCCGTGGGTGCGTTTAAAAATATACAATTTCACATACACATCACGCCCAGACACGGAACAACAATTTGTGGATCACCTAAAGAGTTGTTGTCGTGTCGTGCGGGAATCGAATCCTATGCGCCGCAGCCAGTTGCCTAGCTACCGCGCCAAACGATGCGCACCGCCGCGACGCGCGCGCGGCTCATGAATAAGAGTCCCGTTGTGACTTGAAACTAGTAGAGCTTTGGTTAATGACTTCACAAGTAAGTCGTTATCTATACTAATATTATAAAGAGGTAAAATTTGTAAGTTTGTATTTAGGAGGTAATCTTTGGAACCGCTGGTTGGATTGCCAAAAATATTTCACTGGTATCTACAATGTTCCTGAGTGCTATAGGCTATAAAACATCACGCTACGATCAAATGGAGCTGAGCAGCGGGTGAAACCGCGTGACACTAGCTAGTTTTCAATAAAAAAGAAAATTACTTAGGTACATTTTTTCTGTTAATAATGTTTGACTTTTATTTTAAAATATTACTACAAAATGTGTGAATAAACTACACTATCACCAGTCAGGCGGTATCGGGAACGTGGTCCGAACTACCGGGCAATGCAAGGGTCTTGACAAAGGAACCTTCTCATAATTATGTATGTATGTATAATTATAAAAAGAACTGCCTTTTGACATTAGCTGTGTTAACGATAAAGTCTAATAATAATCAATAATGTGTAGGTACTACATGTAATTTTGATTTGCTTCTGTTTTTATGTTTTTACGCCTAAATTGTGGAACTGATTTTGATGCATTTTAGCATAAAAATAGAATTAATATTTTCAAATTAATATTTAATTAACATTGTTTGTTATTTAAAGATTTAACTTACTTATTTATTTTTATAATTTAATAGGCAGCCTGTGATGAAGTCCAGTGTAATGCACAACTCTTTTTACAATCGTGATAAAGTATGTATAGATTTTCGACTTCATTAAAAAAAAGAATACGATCTAGATTTAAGTACCTACTAAAATCTGTTTACATAACTCCTACCACATTCCCTGTTAACAGTATTATAATATTAATTTGGAATGTTGTTACAAACTTAATTGACATTCAAAATAAAAAAAAACTGTAGGTTTTTTTTTTGTAAACTATAATTTTAATACTTAGATACGTTTAGAATTCGGCTTTTTGTACCCAGTTGGTTTTTTTATTAACTGTATAATTCATAAATAATTTAGACGATACGAATTTAAGTTTAGAAATTCGCCGCTACGTCACCGCTCTGTAGAAAATATACCTACTCAGTAAATACGCCATACTTCACATGTTCCATTTTAAATCAATTTACTACCGCAAATATATGATCTGGTAAAAAAGCTGCCTAATGTCAGGCACCTTTGTTTAAAAGTCATTACATTGTAAAATAATGAAATTTATATATTAGTTAGTAGGTTTATTTCAAGAAATCATACAGATCATCTTCAGGTATGATTCATATATTCGTAGGGTAATAACAATACTTATTTATTTACTTACAACAGTTTAATATGGTCATTAAATATATATTATATTATATATATAACTAGTTTAATTAATCAAATAATTATAAGATTAAATAACAGCATCAATCACACAAAACAAAGAAAGTAGGTACTTACAAGAAATCAATATGATGTCGTTGATGTGAACGAGGCGAAGCTCAAGTAACGAATGACTCTCGGTCGCTGTGCCGCTTGCTTTTATAACCTCAAATAACAAGATGGCGGCCGACCGAGTGTCATCGTTTCACAACTTTTACAGTTTATCAAATACATTAATTCAACAGTTTAAAATTAAATCAATATTTATTACAATTAAAAAATAATAGTAATAATCACATAATTGAATAAATAGCTAACAGATTCGGCCATCCAACCTTAAGTGTGTCCTTACACGAAACTATTACATAACTACTCTGAAAAATAATAATATCTCTGTAAAAAAAAAGGAGGGCCTCATTGTCCCGTTCGATTTTATTAAAACCACAGAAGTTTTTGTTCTGGGTATCACACAAATTTTTATTGTAGTTACAGGCCTCATTGTCCTGACTACTCAAAATATTTATAAATTTACAGACCTCTTTGTTCTGCATTATAATATAAATTTGCAGACCTCTTTGTTCTGCATTATAATATAAATTTGCAGACCTCTTTGTTCTGCATATTATTTTTATAATTCTAACTATGAATATTAATTTACTAAGACATGCAAACTAATCAGATTCCTCCTCACTCAGAATATTATCATTGGGTCGGGAAAAGTTAAGCCACGGTTTTAATTTGTCAACCGCAACCACGGTGGAATATTTCTTATTACCTTTTCTAGTCAATGGGGTATCTTCTATCTGATATCTATCGTGTGCATATACTTTTGTAATTTTATAAGGACCTTGATATTTTGGGACTAACTTCTTACTATTACCCGTAGCAGGTACTTGTCGTTCTACCCTAACTAAATCTCCCTCATTAAATTGTACAGGTTTGGATCTCGTTTTATCATATCTTTCCTTCTGCTGTTGTTGAGAACTAGCAACAAAACTACTAATTTCCTCTCGGATGGTGGTAAGATCAGACTCTTTGTTATTGGTTGTGACACCTTCGTCAATGGCTACTATCAACTTGCTATCACTAACACCTTTCGGTCGAACACCAAAGAGAGCCTCGGCAGGTGTTCTATTAATTCCTTTATTAAAGGTGTTATTAATTCCCCATTGAACTTCGGGTAAGTGCTCCTCCCATTTACTTTCAGAGGTCCCTGCACACTTAGCTGTCAGAGAATCTACTATAACCCTATTATAACGCTCGACCTGTCCGTTCGCTCTAGGGGTGGCAACCGCGTTAAGGACATGGACAATACCTTTCTCAGTTGTGAAAGACTTAAAGGAATCACTTGTAAAGGATGTTCCCCTATCGGATATAATTCTACGCGGAACACCAAAAATACCCATGTACTCGCGCAATACCTTTATGGACGTACTACTTCTGGTGTTACGAACTGCTTTTACATAAATAAAACGGGTAAATGCATCAATAATAACTAGAATATAAATGTTACCCCTGCAACTTTTAACAAAAGGTCCAACGTGATCCAAATGTACCGTATCAAATGGCTGACTGACTTTTACGATTGGGTTAAGGTAACCGGGTTTTTTACCCGCTGAAGCTTTTGAATATGCGCATTCTAAACATGATGTAACATATTTTTTTACAAAGCGTCTCATTTTAGGGAACCAAAAGTAAAGTTTTATTTTCTCAAGGGTT